CTTCTGATGTGTCCACTGGATGTTCAGTGTTTCAATCAGTTTGACATCGTTTGACCTTAAACTTGCCCATGAGAGGGAGGAACCAACTAATACTGTATTCTCCATCATTCTCCCTACTTTGCGGGTCTCAAAACTGTAATACTACAACCCCTCTTCTGCTAGACCCCTTTGGGTGATGAACACGAAGCTACACGCCGTTGAACCATCGAACTTCACCCAGCACCGATGAACCCATCGACCCACCGGGCCAGCTCCGTCTCTGCGACGCTCGACCCTTCGGCCCCGCGCCAGTCTCGCTTCAACCCGGCCGAATCGGCGCTGCTGGCCTCCACGGCCGTCGACCGATCCGTCGGCTTGTATGTGGGGGGCCTCAGGATCCGAGGATCCGAGAGGTGTCCGTTTGGGGACTGAAACAGTTCGTGCGACGAGACCAGGTCACTACGCTGTTGGGGGGGGACAGATCTGGAGTGGCACCTTTTCTTCAGGACCTGCGAGGCAATGCTCCCATTCGCAAGGCGGGCCGCAGGGCACCTGCCTGCCTGAGCGCAGCCGTGGCGCGACACCGGGGCGAGCGAGCGGAGCTGGGCGGCCAGGTGATCCTGAAACTTCGGTCGAATGGCATCTGCTGGAATCCCATGAGGCCGATGAGTCTTGGTCCCGAATGGAGCCAGAAACACTGTCGGACCTGGACACTGATGTAACTTATATTGTAAGTCTTGATATATATATATATATATATTCGTCTACCTGTACTTATGTATTAGTCTTTTCGTCTTTTTTTCATTTAAAAGGTATTCTACCTTTTTATCGCGGCGAAGTGTGGTATGGTCTTCATCGTCTTGCTGTTTGAAGGTGCTTGGAGTGTTTGGATGTCCATCTAAGGAGCTTTACAGTGGCGAATGAGGATTGCAGCCTCTTGAATCCAAATTGTGGGCTCGCATCCGCCATGCTGTGTGATGGGAACTGTTCAACTGATGTCTTTCACAAATTACAAACAGGACGACCACGTGGTGCAACCCTCAACCATCCTCAACCCCTCCAAAAACAGAAAAAAACAAGCAGGGCCTTCAAAGACGGACTGATGTGGGGAAAAAAACACTTTCGTAGCCAGCTACTTTCGAGCCAGCCGGCTACTTGACATCAATTCTCCAAGAGGTCGTGTAGTGCTAGTGCAGGATCACCCAAGAGTTTTGCGGATGTGAGTACTGATGGAATGACGACTAAAAACGGCAGGATGGATCAACAGGTCAAGCGGTCAAGTGTTCAGGTTGAGTTGACTAAGGTAGATTCTGATGTGCGAAACCCGAGGTTTGTACACATTCGACATGCGAAAGCTGAGTGCTGCTACTGGCCGACACTGGGATCATGTCATGGCTGTCCTCGACGTGGACTACGCACCAAATGGACTTTTGGCAAAATTGGTTGGCAGAACCCACCCGTGCAGAACCCACCGCGGACGGGCGATCACTCACGACCGGGGAACCGTGTGGAGTTTGACGACCGTCATTCCCTTCAAGCAATTGATAAAAGACTTCATAGACTAATAGCAATGGCCTCCAAAAAAAGCAATTTCAATAGCAATGACCAACCTACTAGCGATGGCCTCCAACTTTTTCCCTTCAAGCTGAAATTGATTGTTGTGAATGGCAAGGTCAAGAGTTTGTATCCGCGAGCTACGACAATACAGTGAGACTATGGGATGTCAATTCTCAACGTTCAAAAGAGGCCGTGTCGATTGAGAGCTTTGCAAGATAACTGTTTGTTTCATTTGCATGTCAACACAGTAAACCCCAGAATGCGTGGCATCCGATAATCGACAAATTGAATTCCTGATCTTCTCACTCTTCTCACAATTTCTTTGAACAAAGTTTTGACTCGCACTCACTTGTGCAGGTGTACCATGGCAAACGTATGCAGTCGCTTGGAAGAACATGAAGACAATCTTCAGCATTTCCTGGGCTTGTGGTGCAGGAAACAACACTTGAAAAAATCTTGCTTTGTTCTTGTCTTTTTCACATCGATCCTTTATCAATAGGCGAAAGTGCTGCCAGTAGACCAACAATGCTTATTTGCCGGTCAACCTGAAAAGGTACTGCTTGATATGAAGGATAGTTGATATGAAAAACCACTGGCGGCGACGTACTCGTACGTCGGTCTAAGTCGGTTCGGTCCCCTGTCACTTCTGGCAGCGAACCAGGCGAGTGCTTTGTTGCCACTACACTCCTGATGGCAGATTTGTCCTTTCCGGCTCGGAGGACACCAACATCCGTGTTTGGAAGGCAGCGCTGAGATGCATTTCTGACGTTCCCAGACTGGTTGGTTCACAGCCGCTTCTTTCAACATTTGAGTCTTGAGTTTGTATGTTGTAAGCCTGTAAGCCTGTAAGCGTTTTAGTTCATACATTCCTAAGATGATTTAGAAGTCTCTTCGGGGTTCCGAACGTCTTGAGGCCAAAGCAGACCAGAAGCTCGGTGTGGCAAGTGCTCGCGAGAGCAGAGCTGAAGCGTGGCAGCTCAGTTGATGGAAGCTGATGGCATGTAGTAGATCAAAACGCAAAGAAGCCACACACACACACACATGCATTAAAAACCAATGAACAGAACAAAACTTATCAAAAACAAACAACACGGATCCAAACAAACAACAACCCCCCATAGTCCACTGATTTCCCCTTTTTCTTCGTCCGCAGACGGTCTAGGTCAGCTTCTCCTGTTCCGTGTGGTTCCGCTGGTCCCGTTCTGGTCGATGCACCTTGTTACGTGCGTAGCTACGTCCGTGCCTTGTTCTGAACGTAGCCATGCACATCGGAGGGAATCCTGTTCCTGGTCGGGTGGTCTTCATCTTTGTTGCTTAGACGGCCTCAAGAGCCTCCGCGGTGTATTCCATGATTCGGCATGAAGGTTTTTCTGATGGTGCGATGTTTTCGCACGCTCTGCGAAAACGCGCGAGAGCAGTGATGCAATGCACGCTTTTGCCCAAACAGCTTGCTGTCGGGGTTCTATTGGCTTTCAAAGAGTTGCATCCTGTCACGATAGAATTTCCCCTTTGTCTCCCCAGTGGCATCCTGAAGGGGTAGGATGTTTTCTGTTCCCGGTTGAGTGTTTTCCCTTCCATCGGTGTTTGGGTGTTTTTTTTCTGTTCCGGGTGTGGTGTTTTCCCTTCCCGCTGTGGTGGTTCCCACTTTTGCGGTGTCTTCCCTCCTCGGGTTTGGTGTTTTCCATTTTCATGTTTTGTCTTGTCTTGTGTTGGTATGTATGCAAGACAAGCAAGAAACGAAAGACATGCACAACCAGAAAACAACACCAACTCATCACCAGGTTGTTCTTTTTCACCACATTTTTGCTGAGCGCTTCTCCGTTTTTAGACTGTGCGAGTCTAATTGATGTGCGAGTCTAATTGATGTCGACGTATCAAAAGCAAGACTTCGACGTAGCAGAGCGCTTGTGGACATGTCAAATCTTGGTATGGTGTATAGTGGTCCCCAAAAGATACTGGCACGGTTTCCAATACATTTTTGAGTGGGGATCTACGAACTTCTATCTATGTTTAGGGGTCTATTTTAAGGTCCTGTTAAGTTTGGGTGAAAAACTAATGGTGCTACTGTTGAAAGAACCGGTTGAACAAAGTTCAACAAACCATCACTTCTAATTCTGGTGAGCACCATGCATCTGTGGCACACAGGGGTTCGCTTCGGGGTTCGCTTCCGTTCGCGGGGCATCCATCTATTTTTTGAGTGGATCGTGGGGGCGAACTGGGTTCCTTGGACGCCGGAGGCCTACAGGGAAGTGTTGAAGAAGAAGTTTTCGAAGATGCCAGAAATTGCGAGAATTAAGCGACACAAGTGAGGGACTCAGCATGACTCAGGACAGCACACGAGAGAGAGAGAGAGAGAGAGAGGAGAGAGAGACAGAATCGATCAGAGCTTGAGCCCGGAATGGTGCAACTGCTAGTCTGGAGGCATGTGCCCAAGATGGTAGCCCTCTCAGCTTTTTTTGAGGGCTGAACACACAAAATGAATGCAATCAAAGAACATGTGCGATGATGTCAAAATACTATTGGTATTAACAGATATGCAGCATACTGATTGATCTCAGATCAAATCGATTGGAAATAAGCGGCGCATCATGAAGGAGGCTGGACTCTCTGAAGCAGTTTCTTCCCGTCGGACTCTTCAAAACGAACTCCGTGGAACTCTGAAACCGATGAACTCATATGAACTCTGATAGCACAAACACCATGGTGAAATGGCTCAAGAGATGCCACCAGGCCCGACAACGAAAAGATGCTAACCGGCGGAAGCACTCCAAGCCCGGCACGATGGAGCATGAGCCGATGAAGTGGCTTGGCACAATGGTCCGGGATTGGCATGTCTTTGGGCTGAGAGGTGAACAGAATGGAACAGAATGGAACGCTGATGCACCTTTATCATCTCACAGAATGGACACTTTTCATGCACCTTTATCATCTCATCTCAGCCAAAAAGATGAACAAGCAAGATGCACATCTTGGACTGGAATGGCCTCTGGTGGCCAAACACTTACCGAGCGGAACCCGAACGATTCGTTTCGCACGACCCGGACCTGAACGATTCCGAAGCACGCCCAGGAAGCGGCTCATCGTGAAGGAGTTGGAGTGATCCCGGAACATCCGTGTGGTGCCGCCTCGGCCGAGAGCAAAATGAGACACCAGGATGGAACATGTCCATCGGACCGCATCGGAGTCCGAGAACTGGATGGATCGACCAGGATGGAACAGCAGGCGAACTGCTCGGAGTTCTTGCAATAGTTGGGGGACCAACTCTGAAGCCTTCCAGTGGATGATGTTTGATCCAGCTGATCACAGCCAGCTTCATGCGATCAGGGGATGGCAGTCGTCCAAAGACATGAGCATCGTTGCGCAGTATGGACATCAAAACCAGCCTTTAAGACATGTGACATCAATCGGTCTTCAAGTGACCTTGTATTCGACCAATTAATCTGGACTTAAGCAGCGCCATGCCCGAGAGAATCGCCACTCCCCAATTCCGTCCCTGCGAAAACACCTGTGACGCCATGCCGTCCTCCAGCTCAGCGCCAGCTGGCAGTGCTATTGTTTGGTGACGCGTCGTGAAACGTCCGTGCCGACGACCAAAGAAAAAGGTCGAGCTCAGAAGCTCCTCGAGGTGCCGAGCCGAAACCGTTGAAGTTTTGTTCCGAGGTTCTGCTTTCGACCTCGTGCAGTGCAAACCGAGGTTCCGCAAGGGGCTGCGGCTTCGCGACAATGCGCCGCTGGTGGAGGCCGAAGAAACTCCACAGCCTTTTCCGTAGAACATAGGACCATGTTGGGAGGGAGCAAAAGCTGCAGTCTTGGGTGACCAGTGAAACACCTCCACCCGGAATGTCATTGATAAAGACACTGTGGATGGGCATTTTTCAATCAGCTCGTTATGCGATGTCTTTTTTGAGTGGAAATTCTGCCGTTTGGGTCACAGTTTCTTGGACCCTCCACATCAGAACACCATCAGAACACCACTGGAGGCCTCTAAAGCTGGCGTAAAGCATGTGTGCCACAGCCCCAGTGAATGGATGTGAATGGTTCTTCCCGGTCGGAGACCCTGGGTGCTGGCAGAAACCCGCCGTGATCGATCGATATGAGGCCCGATCTTCGTGATCGATCCACACTTTGGGCCGAAGCACGTTGGCATCAACCGCCACTGGCTGAGAAGAAAGGATGTTTTCTTTGTCGGATTTTTGGGTGTTTTTGCTACTGCGATTCAAGGCTACAACTTCTTGTTAGACTCTTTGAAAGATCTGGACAAGTAACCTGGCAGCTCAGTGCTTGAACTCCACTGAACTCGACACATCTTTACTGGAAATGAACAGATGTGAAGTGATCTCAAGATCATTTGATTGGATCCTTCCCTTTGACATCCCACCCAGGCAGCTGAGCAAGAGATACCGCACGCTTGCCTGCAAGAAGGGGTTTGGTAGGAATGAAGTTGGGGGCAGCCTGCAGATTCCGGGTGCCCTGAGGCAGCCGTTTGATGGTGCTGCGTGGCAAGCCAGAGGAGGGAATGACCGCCGCGAATCCGCCGCACGTCGCGGGTCGTCTTGCCGAAGGTCCCGCAAGTGCCAAGCGGTTCGTCGAAGGTGCAGGTGCAGGTCAAGACCCATGTTTTCGACCTTCAGATTCAAAACAGGTTTTGGTGCCTTTTTTATGCCCTTTTTTATGCCTTTTTCATTCTTATTCCAAGGTAGAACATTCACTTGAAGGGCTGTCCATCGATGCTTGGTGCACTCTAAGACCGACTGCCCTTTTGACACTTGGGGCGCAACATTTTTTTTCTCTTCCTCATCACATAAAGACGAATCTGCAGGCCCTGTTGAAAGACATATCAGTCCACTTACGATTCTACAAGTCCTTTATAGTTGACTCATATCTGACACCTCACAACCTTGTTAGCTGCAACAAGATGCGAAAACATGCGAGATGAAGCAGCAAATGACGGGTAGCTGAGTTCGGATACAAAGACGGGAACCAATTGGACAAGAAGACAGAAAAACCATCCACAGACATCGAAGGCCTAGTCACTCTAGTCCTTAAAGATCAACCAAAACAGTGCAGAAGACCAACCGATGACCTCGTTCTGAGCCATGGAGACTATCACTGAAGAGACTTCAACGATCCTGTTGGACATCCCAGACGACGCAGCGAGCGCAGACGGCGAGAACGACGATGCTTCACCTCTCTCTGCACCTCCAGATGTGGGGGACGGTCCAGAGGAGCTTTGGGAGAAGAGCCCTGAACGGGAAGATTTGGAAGGGCGAAGAAGATCAAAAGATGAAGATCTCAAGGAACGGTGTAGCCAGGGCAGGCGGATTGTCTGTCTTATTGGCTGCCTCGTACTATGTGCGGCACTTTTGTTTCTGCTTCTTGGACTAATTCAGGCAGTCTGCAGACATGAAGCAACGTGAAGCCAATTGTGTGGAAAGCTTTGCAATTGCCTAGGTTGGTAGCCCTCTACTTGTTTCTGCCCGGAATCTTTGGCTGTGTCTATAGGAGAGTATCTGGACGGCAGGCGGCGTCATGTGGTCATGTGGAGATGACTCTGTGCAAGGCAATGTATCAAGCCAATGCTACACTGTTTTGGTCCCAAAATTGGGCACTTAGGGCTTAAGTGACTCTTGGTGTTTACTTTTTTAAGAAGCACACATCGCATTGCTCTGACTTTCTCTGAGGTTCTTTGTTCCATGAACATCTACTTCTGGCGAGGAACTTGCAATGTTGACTTTGATCAATGTATGGCAAGGCTCCCTGACAAAATCCATGCACGGGACAGGGCGGGGGGGAGCAGCCGCATTCCTTTCTTTTCCACCAAGGTTGCCAATGGGGGCCAATCAGATCCCGTTGGGCTATTTGCTCTTGTCGAGATCAAGCCTTCCTAGTAGCATCAACCTTACAGGTGGACCTTTTTTCGCGTCGCTGATTGAAAGCAAGACGAGGGCTGAAACACCGTGCACAGCACGCTTCTTTTTTTCCTGCTGGCGGACAGGCTTACCTACAGGTCCTTCCTTTGACTACAAGCTCATCAGGGATGAGGCTAGGAGAGGGAATGATATACATATATATATATATGTTTTGGATGGCTTTGGATTTTGCGATTTTCGTGGTGTCCTTAGACGTCAAGTCGACTGTCACTGATTCTTTTTCCGACGGCCAGGGGCATCAAATGCCGGAGAAATTCTTCTCCGGTGAGTGGTGGCGTGGAAACGAGCATGGGGGTCTTGTCCCTTGCTTAGTGCATCGAAGAAAGCGCGGGCCTTGCCACGAGCTAGCCGCATTCGCCACACTGTGCCGCAAACGCGCCCGGGTGGGGCGTTTCGATCATTCTTTTGCAGGCGTTTTCTGTTTTTGTTTTTCAGGTGCACAATCCATACTACTGGAGTGAAGTGGAGATCTGGCCCATGTCCATCGGAATGGGCATATCCGAGCAGCAGTTCTTTGGCTTAACTTCTGTTTGCCGTCATCTCTGAGAGTTTGATTGTGACCGCAACAAAAATCGCTTGCTACAGAACGTGCCTGCTCGAGCGAGGGAGCGAAAGGAATCACACATCGGGATGACCGGATCATACCGAGTCACGCAACTCTTCGAGTGTTTCTCTGCTGAGGCACGGTGCCCTTCGCAAAGCTCTCGAGGTGATCTTTGCGGCGCCGCAAGACACAGGTCGTGGCGCGACAGCCGGCGCGACAGCGGCGAGACGGTGTGGGGTTCGGAGCGCGGCATCCGGAGCTGAATTTCCTTTTTTCAGCTGTGCAGGCTGGATTCGAGCTGGACTTCATCAATTCTTCAAGGTGAGTTTCTCTGCCGAGATGTGCTGCAGCCTTTGCAGAATTTTGCCAAATCCATCAATGTTCAAACAAATCCGAGGGAAGATTCTGTAGCATGGACTGCCTGCAAATGAACCAAAATCCCACCCAAAGGGTTCGGTTTTGCGTTTTCGGCGCCCGTTTTCGCCGCGGATTTGACCGTCGCACCAGGAGAGAGCGGAAGTCGGGCGGCTCACCACGGAGGATCTCCACGCGTGGGTACACCAGGCGGAGCCGGGAGAAGCGGAGAGAAGCGGAAGTCGGGTGGAGCCGGGCGTGTCATACGCGAGGGTTTTCGAGCGTGAGCATACTGCGTGTCGCCGCAGAGCAGTGATTGTACTGGAGGTGTTGATGAATACCACCTTCGGGCGGAAGGTGGACTTTGAATATGCCAAGGAGTTTGTGAGAGCAGCTTGGCCGGACACGCAAAACTCTTCAGTGTTCATGATCTTGTTTAGCTACTTGGCCAAGGTACAACGTGACTTTCTCACATATGGCACCGTGAGCACCTGGGCATCAAACATGTTGTGAACACACAACGGCACGTGACGGTGTTGCGCGGCACGGTACGCCCTGCACCAGGTCAGCTGGTTCCGGAGAAGATGTACTCGACGATGGGCAGCTTCTTCAAGATGCCACAAACGCGAGATGCTATTGCTGCCTATGTCCGGAGCTATGTTCCTCTCATAGAGGAGACTCAGCTGCAGGTTTGGAAGGAGAAGCATTGACCATGCGATCATGCGACCATGCAACCCCCGCAGTCCGTGTCATGCAACCCCGTGCAGTCAGACAATTTGCACGAATGTTTCGAGGAAAAGTGGGCATGGAAGCTGAAAGGGCAAAATTGTGCGCCATCCAAGAGTTGTACCACACAACTTGCCAGTATGTTTCTTGGAAGGGCGAGAGATCGCAAAGTAAGTCTATTCATTTGCATCAGTTGCGTTTGATGACCTCTAAAATTCAATAATGTAAGGCTGCTTGACAGCATGCTCTCCACTGGGGGGCATTTCTTACCCTTTGGAGCTTCAGTTGCATTAGACTCAGCGAACTCCACAGCTCTTGGCTGCTTCGAAGCCCCTCCTGCTGCTCGTTGCGAAGCAAGGAATCAGATCCGGCCTGAGCATCTTGTATTCGAATTCCTCGTCCAATCCCACCGGTGGACACACGCTGATCGCCGGGAAGGAGCTGGAGTTCTTTTGGGAGTGCTCTGACGCAGACAAGGGTCTTGCCAAAACAGCAAATCCTTCCCTTTGATACATCCATCCACATGACAGAGAAAAGTTGTATACTTGCTTCGCTTGTTTGCATTATTTTGGTTGGCTGAGGTGCCTACGATTTATTCCACCTGTCCTTGGAATTCCCTACTGGAAAGCCAGACCAGACTGTGCACGAAGTCCTGCAAGTGCTCAGATCCCGATCCTGGTGCAACCCGTGGCAGTTTCGATGGGTTTTCCCATGGTTTTCCATGATGTTATTCTCCAGTGATGTTCGCTATGCCATTCCCTGTGCCATGAAAATTGGTTGTTTTTTGTCCGTGACATCAGGGGAAGATGGTGTGTCCAAAGCTCCATAAGAACAATTGGACTGGCCACTCGGTGGCAGACCTGGCAGATGATCCGATCGACTCCAGTAGGTGTCTGAGAGCTTGAGGCTACCCACGAGTCAATCAGTGGCGTGGTGGCCACCGCTATGTCCTCGGGGTTGCACTTGGGCAACTAGGCACCTCCGAAACGCGCGCTTTGCAAACAAGCAACCTCTTTGCCAGCAGAGCTGTGCGGAGACATGGACCACGTTTTCGCGCGTGTGTGCGCGTGCAACGGCGCGCGTTGCGCCCTGTCAGATCCCAATGTCTGGGGCGAGGGTGCTGATTCTCAATTTCGAGTGCGTGCTCTCGAAGAATATGAGAGGCCAGTCTCTAGAGCATGATTAAACACATTTATATAAAAACACCATGCTTTTTGTGGCCAACTTGCTGTGCGGCAGGCTATCCGTTGGCTTTGCTGAAATGGCTTCCAACTATCAAGTGGACTGGGGACGCTCAAATAGAGATTGCCCCGCCAAGCGCTTGGCCCTTTTGCTGGGCCAGATCTTCTTTCAGGACCGAGCCAAAATCCAGAAAGATCCGTGTAGGGCACCTCGAATGAGAATGCAGGCCTCCACCAAGGTCCTACTTCAAACGGGACACCCTTCCGACCCCTTCCGAGCTGGCCGCCTCCAACCGCAGTGAGAGAACGGCACTCAGTGAGAGAACGGCCCAAATCCAAAAACACCGCAGGAGTTCAACGTTGATGCCTGGGAACCAGTTGATGCCAATATCCCGATTGATTCTCAAGCTGCCGCGAGTTTGCCGTTGCCGCAGCTTACACTGAATCTACGAAAAGGGGCAAAGAGCCTCTGGTGATGCAGAAGTTTTCGCTTCGAATAAACCTGAATACAACAGCCGACTTTGGAGTGCAAAGTTTGGTAGCCAATGTGCTCTACACTCCACTGGACAAAGTGCCAGTCCAAAGCTTGGCCACGTTTCACATTTATCTTGGGCAGCAGCTGAACGCCACACCATTTGCTCGCAGCGCAGCGAGTCTCGCTGTGCAGGTCACGTGTGTAGAAGGTCGAAGAACACCACACCTCTGGCAGGAAGTGATTGGGAGGCTGCTGAAAACGGGCAAGCCTCTCCTTTCCGCAAAGGACTGAGACATTGATTCCAAGAACGTCGCCTGTTGCCCCGCTGTCTGAAGACGAGCTTTCTTTGGCGAAATCTGCTTCTGAACTTCGCAAGCCACTGAAACACTCAGGCAAAGCCAACACTCATTCTGTGGGAGAAAGACACTGAACCCTACGCTTTGCAACCTGGCTAAGCTGGTGATGAGATTTTGTTTGCAACACTAGTCCTGCCGTCACTTGCAACGTAGTAGAACCATGGGCGTTTGCACGTTGAACTGATTCTGTTTGATTTGAGGAAGAGGGATGCTGCAATCATAAAGCTTGCGAAGCAAAACCATGTTGAGGCAGACCTGCCCGGCCTGCCCTTGGGTCTAGTCTGCGGTAGTGAAGTCATTATCAAAAGGTACGTAGTCATTTAGAGTGGCAGTTAGCTGCGGTGTATATTCCTGGGAGCGTCTGTAAGGTCCCCAGGTCACAGCCAGTTCCAGTCAGCCAGGTCTAGTCAGTCAGGTCTGGTGCAGCCAGGTCGCAGCCAGATCTAGCCAGGTGGCCAGGTCAACCGCGGAATGCGACCTGTCCGGACAACGTCCGGAATTCCGTGTCCTTCGCCACGTCGTGGCGGTTTGTCGCGCCACACGCGAGGTGCGGACGTTCTCGGGTCACACGCTGTGGGATGTGGAGCAGGCGCTGGCGAAGAACAAAGGCGCCGGCACTGGGCGGTTTCGACCGCGACACGCCAGCGGGTGCAGTGTTCGGGTGCAGGGTGAGGTGTGGGTTTCTTCGAAGAGGAGCTGGACATCGGACGAAAGTGATCCAAGAAGATGACCAAGCAGCCAAGGTAGATCACATGTCTGATCTTGTTTGTGGACGGTGATCGATGACATCAGATTCTGTAGTCAATGACGTTCAGTGCATCTTTTCCTCCAAAAAGCCCATGCATTCGCCAAGAGCTGGCCGAAAGAAACAACGACAAGTCGTGAGGCAAAGCTCCCACGACCAACAATGCCATGCAAACCTTGGCCAAGGTTCGGGTTGTCCAAAGTTGACTTCTCGCGGCCGAGAAAAGGCATATTTTTTAAAGATCTGGATTTAATCTTACAATTTTACATTTTTTTACTTGGACTATCTAGATTTAGTCTTACATTGAGTCTTACATTTGTTCGACCTTTTTTGACCCTTCTTGGAGGCACTGGGTGAGCCAGCCAAGCCCCTTGCCATACCATCAAAGCTGTTTCGGCCTCAGTCGCGGATGGCCGGTTGTGACCGCATGGCCGTTTCGCCGGTGTGGCATGGCCACTGGCCGTTTCGCATGGCTCAGGCCGCCACTGCCTCCTGGCGCCAAGGTCCGAGGCCTCGACTCGGAGAGATCCAGCGCTGAACACCGGGAAAAGCACCGAAACGTATTTGGCAACACATCGACAATGGGGCTGTTTGCCGCGTCACATGGTCCATTCTGGACCGTTCCAATGCGGTGCTTAGAGCCCTTTCCATTTACCAACCCTTACCCACCATTGCTGGAGGGCTGTAGTTTTTGGATCAGTAGGTTGCCTTTGCTAAGTTGGATTCCTGGGTTTTGTTTGCCGTGCATGAGATGAATATGCATGCATGTATAGTCGGACCTTTCCACAGTATCCCAATATATCATAATATATCAATATCCATTTTGCATGAATATCTCTGAACAACTGCCCCCCGTTCTAATGATTCTAGTGCGTACATGCAATTTTCTTCCTTTTTTTTCCACACCTTACAGACTTACAGATGGTTTCACCAACCGACCCACACAACGGACGCGAGTTACACTTCTACTTCATGGGGAGAGTAGCTTATCGCATATTTGTTGATGCATGTCCACATGCACATCTGACGTGTAGCATGTATCATTACCTCCAGGAGAGGCAAAGGTTAGGCCTTAGCGGACTGGAGCTAAGGCCTATGATGTTCCAACTTTGAAGCAGATGGGCCTTCAACCTAAAAAGGTCGCAGTGAGCAGGCTGTTACTGTTGGGAGAGGGTCACTTTGGCGATCTGCCAAGGCTACGCTGGAAGCGCACGCCCTAAGAGACGCTGCAGAGACTTCGACCGATGCGCCGAAGGAGACCGAAGGGACCGAAGGGACCGACGGATGCGGCCAAGGCGTGCAAGGCTACTTGTCGGGTGGTGAGACTGCTGGAGCGGCACGCATGGCCACAATGCTGAAGGCGGTGCGCGCTCTTGCGCGCATGGCCTCACTCAGTGATCATGAGTTCCTTCTTTTTTCTATACATACCAGTACTAGTAGCTTTCTAAACACATCATGCTTCACGGTTTGTTTTCATCGCACGTCCGAGTAAACACAGAGGCCGATGCCCCATCCATCTCTGCCTTTCTTTTTTGCCAGAAAACCTCCTTCATTCGCACCTTCAAGAAGCCCCAAACGCGCTCCACGGCCTATGCCGAAGACTCGGCCGCAACGGCCGCGCGTCGCTGGCCGAACGCGTCGCGTCCCTCGTCGTGGCACGTGGCCCGAGGATCCGCCCGACACGACGATGTTGTCACCGTATTTCAAGTTTGGATGCGCTCTTTGGATGGAAGATGCGAGCTTTTGGATGGGGCTCCATCAATTTAAATTTTAATGTTTCTTTTTTATTCAGCTGATTGATATTGCTTTCGGAAAGAACATCGGCGCTGTTCCGAGGTCAGTATCCGTGAGTTCTATTGGGGCTTGAAAAAGGCCGGTGTTGTTTTTTGCAATCCTTGTCTTTGCCGGAGCCGCTTGAGTCGGCAGGTGTGCAGCGGAGCAAGCCATTCAAAACCGCCGGAGTCTTTGCTTGGCCAGCCCGGGTCTTTGCTACGCTGCAGCTTCGTTGCCTGATCTCTGGCGCCTTTTGGAAATGTATGGAGCTTCGCAAGAGAAGCCGCTGTAGCTGAGGATCTACTTCAGGGAAATGGCCTACCTGATGGGGGCTTCTTGACAGCAAAGCAGCCATGAAGAAATCCTGAGGACTGGAGCATTGGCTCTCGAAACCACCGTGCTCTCCTTCCCCTTCGCCTTCGCCTCGCGGTCTCAAAGCCTCACCGCACGAGGCTTCGATCCCAAATTTCGATCAGCAGGCCACAGGGATGGTTCGATGCAAACGCAGTTTCAAAGCAAGCTGGAAAAGAAGTCGAAAAGGTCTGTAGAGAACTGGACAACTTGACTTAATAGATCATGTGGAGAAGATCTGTTTCGAGCGTGACCATGGCGATGCTGGATGATTGATGCTGGAGCCTTTTTCAAAGGTTAGCAGCTTAGCATCTCTTTTTCTTCACACCAGGCAGGCAATCCCAGCTGCAAGCCTCCACCTCAGCGATCGAAAGCCGCTTCTTCGCGGGGCGCTTCAAACCTCACAGCGCTTCGGCGCAGCCTTCCTTGCTTCGGCGCCTGCGAAGGCAAATCCCATGGGCCAAGAACCCGAAGATGCTGGCCGCCTGGGAGCATGGCAGGCTTGGCCGCGGTCGGTGGTGAAGATTCTTGGTCGGATTTCTTGTCGGATTTAGAACGGTTTCTTGGCTTGTGACGGCGAAAACTACGGTGTGAGCTTAGACGCTCCAGGACTGGCTTTCCCTACATAGACGCGGCAATGAGGCAGTTAAATCGGGTGCCTCAACCGCAAAGGGATGCTTTTGAGAAGGTACAAAAACAGTTGCCGATTGTGAATGACTCAGGTGGGTTGGATGCATCATCTTGCTCGTCATGCAGTGGCGTGCTTCCTGACGCGTGGTGATTTATGGCTTTCTTGGGAACAAGGCCACTAGGCCTGCACTACCAATCTGCGTCCGTCGCACGTAGCCCCACTTGATTTCTCACCATCGATTGCTCCTTTGTTCTTCCATCTCTAGGCAGAGACGTCTTCGACAAGCTGCTCCTAGATGCGGTCAAGAACTCATAGCTTCCATATTATATGCTTTCCTTAGCCCTGCTGACGGGAAAGCCAAACACATCCAGCGCGATGGAAATCGCCAGCGCGTCTGAGGATTGGGCATTAAACAACATGAATTGGTTGGCCCTGGCGGGAGTCGCCCCTTGGTCACCACCTTTCTTCCGGGTCTACCACCCAGCAAGAGTCCCAGGAAGAAACTGCAGAAGTTTGGTCGGAACTGCGGGTATTGAAGTTTGAATTGAAATTGTCTTTCATGTTCTGATCGATTGATGTAGAGCAAGAAAAAGGCTGCCGGGATTCTGCGCCAGGTCCCAAAGATGGATTCTGCCCTCAACGTGAAAGATCCAGAGGCTGCTCGAGAGCGGAAACGCGCCCGTGCCGCGCCGAAAACGCCCCGCCCGTGATGCGAACCGACGACCGAGATCGCCTCAGGGGAAGTTCATCCGTGAGTTCGTCCCGGAACTTGGGAAGATGCCAAGTTGGTCGCTGAGAAACGTCGCCAGGTGCGGTTTTTGGAAAGAAGTGACACACGACCGACCCGAGCGACCGACGCTGCGTTTTGGAAAATGGAGATGTTTTGGTGTTTTCAAGAAGTCCTGAGGTCAATACATTTATGCACCCTGGACAGCTCCCATGGAGGCACTGGAGTCTGGAGCTCCAGAGCTTGTCATACGGGACCTGGTCGAGCTGTTTCGGCAGGTCCAAAAGACGGCGGGCTGCATCATCGGCAAGGCCCCACCCTGTTCGCAGACCGCCACCGAAGGGCGGGCTGGGGCGTGAACTCGTGGAGGACTATCCCAAGCCGATGGTCGACCACGATGAAGTTTGCAAAGCAGTACCCTCAGCCGCAAAAGACCAGTGAGATGATTTGAATTGCTTTGATGTGTCTTTTTGATTCGTTTGACACGGGAGCGAAACAGGCTCAGGATGGGCTCAGGGTCCTATTTTGAGGCCAATCTTCTTCGATTCAAGAGGGCATTGAGCAAAGCGCCAAGTACAGGTGCGGACTGTGATACCCATGGAAAGGCTTTGAGGTCTTCGATCACGAGGTGCTCAAAAGCGGAAAGCTCCACCGGCTTCAGCCGCTTCGGCTTCTACCAAGAGGCGCCCCACCGTCCTTTCTTCAAACCGCCGGACCGATGCACGACCTGAACACTGCCGTCATTCTTGGACTCCCCACAGTGGTTCTGCAGCATTTTGCTTCATTTTTGTGCCAGGCAGCGACAATGGAAGGCTTGAATGACCAGCCAGTGTCTCACCGCCAGCATTTAGACTGGCAGTTTTCGGCGTGACAGTGCTTGTCACCCCACCAGTATCGATTAAAACGCCATGTTTCGAAGCACCTTTGGCGACCGTTCTGCTGGACCGGACAGCTGTCCAGCAGCCGAGAGTTTCGTTTGGAGCAAAATGCCGACGCTGCCGCCGCATGGGACCTGCCTGGGACCCGCTTCGGACCCGCTGGCTCCGGTGCCCGTTCGTTTCGCGTTTTGTCAGGCAGCACCTGGGTGGTGCTGATCGGTTTAAAGAGGTGGACGCCAAGGTGGAGAGACCGTCGTGTTTTCGGTCAGACCGTCGTTGGTCGTTCTGGCGTTTGTTCGTGGATCCTCTGGAAAGACGGACACATACGAACAGGTGAAAGCTGCCATGACGCGAGAGTTCAACACTGGTGGTCATGCCGTGAAGGTGCAGAGCTCTGCGCAGTTTTTTCCTTTAAGTCTGATTTTTGTTGGATGAGTTTTTAGCGGTGTTCCTTTGAACTTTAAACACTTACTCTGCTGGAGTCTTATTTTTCTGTTCGGTGAGTTTTTTCTGCGGAGATTTCAGCGGTGTTTTTTTTTGGAAGAAGACCGATGGGTGAACCCGGTGCCCCGGCGAACCGCGTGGTTCGCGGTTACGCGCGCCGTTTGCCGCTGGCGTTTCAGCGCGCCGGTTCACCGCGTGGGGCTTCGGTGGTGAACCGCTCTCAGGTGGTGATCCCCACGGCTGGGAAGAAGCGGAAGTCCTCTGCGATGGAGGAGACGAACGGAGGTCGTGTGCCCCGTTCGTAGCGTCCTTGTTACTAGTATGGCCAGGAGCTCCTAGTAGCTTCTTGTTCCTAGTAGTAGTGTTTTCAGTGAATTTAGGAGAATCCAGATGAGATTGGGGATGACACGGAGAAGGATAAGGCAAAGTGTGATGTTTTCGCAGCTTGCATCAGCTTGCCCTTTGACTCAGCAGACCATGTTTGATCAGGTCAAAGCTGAGCCGGAGGATGAAAAGGATGGTAGCGATGATGAAGCTGGTACTTCAAGCTTGATCAAGTGGACTTGGCAATCATTGACATGAGCAAAATTCAAACATATTCAACCTTTTCACAGTGCTATGGACACCATTGGACACCTGTGCTGTGATGCAAATCATCAAGTTCTGCCAGGATCAGGAAAAATGCCAAGGCCAAAGCGAAACCGAAGGCGAAGCCAAAAGCAACCAGCAAGGCGGTTTTGGTGCTTTCCTGTGGAAGAGTTGACTTTGGATGTAAAGGCATCCTGTCACGGCATTTCTGTCAGACCAAGCCGATTGCAACTCCAGATCACTTTTGTCGCTTTGCCCAGGCGCCTACAGAACCGGCCGCTGCGAAGGCTGCCACGAAGGCCAGCAAACGGCTTGAACGAGTCTCACCTCGGAGTGTGCAGCATTTCGTGAACTGCCGAAACCCAAACTCGGAAGTGTCCATTAGCTTCTTGTTACTAGTAACAAGTGCCACGCTAGTAGTAACAAGTGCCTTACTAGTAGTAACAAGAAGCTATTAGAAACAAGTGCCACGCTAGTAGTAACAAGTGCCTTACTAGTAGTAACAAGAAGCTATTAGAAACAAGTGCCACGCTAGTAGTAACAAGTGCCTTACTAGTAGTAACAAGAAGCTATTCGTTCGTTCCGGCGTCCCAAGGCCAAGTCTAAGCCGAAGGCGTCGGGGGGACGGTGGAGGCTGAGACCGGGGCGCATCGGTGCGGTGCTAGGAGAGACTCGTTGAACTCAGAGAGCTGTTTGGCTGTTTGGCTATAGCAGCTAGATGCAACTAGATAGTAGCCTAGACTCTAGCATCCGGGCCACACTGATGGTGTCATCAGAGCCTGAATTCGTCCTCTTGCTGGTCCTTCTGCACACTCGATCGATTCTTGCTATTTTCTTTTGTCCAAGGAGGACACTTCCAATCATGAACCATGTGGACACTACCTCCCAAGGAAGGTCTCAATGAGATACGAGATACGTCGAGATTGCATCGACGGCACTTTCTTGCCGTCGCGTAGGAGAAAGCCTCGCCGAAGGCTGGAAAGGCGAAAGCCAAGTCCTCCGTGTGGATGCTTAGACTAGTGTTTGTTCTTTTTTCTTTTTATTGCTCTGACCTGTCAAAAGCTGAGGATTTGATTGAGAGTAGTTACTTTCTGAGGTCAGGAAATGAGAGTGATGAGCAGTGGTGAAAGGACATGAGCTGTCTTCGAAGTGTCTCACCTTAGGTTTTAGCTTTCTGGGGCGAGGGAATCACAGTGTGCTTTCCCGTGGGGACATCACTGTCGGACCACAGGTCAGACAGGTCGGACCAAAGGGACGTGGCAGACCTTTCGGTCGGCGCCGGAGGAACAGGTCAAGTGCACTGAAACAAGGACTGAAGCATTGCATACTGAGTTGCTTGCCGCTGAAAGCTTGGCTCCCAACAGCGTGAAGAGACAGTTTGGTGAGAACCAATCCTGCTGATTGTAAGACAGAGTCAGTCATAGCTGGTCATAGCTTGGCAGCTTGGCTCAACCATGCAAATACACGTGCTTGCAGACACATGTTTGACCCAACCTGTTGCTGAAGGGTGGAGCCATGGCGACAAGATGGCCGGTACCATTTGCCAGTGTTTTTGTGACAGACCCTGAAGACAGCCCATTTGCCCCTGCTCAAAGCAGGAACACAACAAGGGGCAGGACTAAAGCAAAGTCGGTTTCTTCTTGCAGATGAATTCGCCGTTGTACGTTTGATCTTCGATGAACCATGGGGCTTGGGGCGTGACAGGTCGGCATGCTGCCAAGCTCCTTGCAGCCGTGACCCTCGCGACCGCGGGCGGCCGGAAGCTTGGGATTCTTCAGTCAATTCGTGCCACGTCATCCGCGTGGTTGACTCTAAAATTGGCACAACAAACCACCCAGCTGGAGCACAGCTGGAGCAGAAACCACATGAAACAACCTCCAAAGCAAACCCCTTAATCCATGTTCTTAATTTTATATCTACCCAATATCTTTCGAACTTTCCTCCCCTCAGTCAGCTTGTAACACCTGATGGACGAATCTCGATTTACATCTCGGTCTAGAAAGGATGACTGTCCCATGGTCTGAGTGGGCCAAGAAGACTGGTCCCAGGCGAATCGGATAAACCGCTCGATGTCGAAGTCTGGTGCCAGGCCGTGATGAAGTTCCGCTGTTCTTCTGGGTGACCCCAGAAACAAAGAGCACCCTAGAAGCGTCTGCAGATGGTGTGGGCTTGGTGCCAACCTCAGAGAACATGAGAGCGGCAAAAAAGACCACTTGCAGGAGTGTGGGACCCTGACTATAGATTGCACACTTGCCCTGCAGAAAATGAAAGGACCAGACTATGTCAGACTTGGTTTAAGCCTAACTTTGGCTTAAACTATGAGGAACTGACAGGAACTGTTGTCTTCGAGCCTTTGCAAACCTGAGTTCGGTGTGACTTTTTGTTGCCGAGCGCAACACGCTGTGTTGGCTCCTGCGCCCAGTTGGCTCGAGCTCTCCGAACCATGGTGCTTCGGGTGGTGGGAAAGCGCGCTGCGGGCGCCAGCCAGGTGGTGAAAAACAACCAGGCCAAAGCGCCTACAACTCCTCGACAAAGTGCCAGGAGTGAGGCGGCATTTTTCAGATGGAGAGGATGGAAGTGCTTCTTTTTGGAGCTGAAGCCGCTGCTTTTGTGGAACGTTGCAGTCATCCGATTCTTATTGAATCTGAAGTATATCATTGGCAGGAAAGGGGTCAGTTCACAGATTTCGCTTCAGACTTGGATGCCGTACTCTCTTGGTGCAGGCCACCTCAGATGGAGACTGTGAATTCCAGAGCAGAAAATCCGAAAGGCAACGGAGACTTCGATTTGGCTTTGCATTGACTCCAAAAAGGGAGTGATATGGTCTAGGAAGTAAACCAGTGTCAGGCCATTCAGCATTTCCGTCCCATTTCTGTCCGACAAAACAAGTCATTGTGATCATCCTTCAGGGAAAAACATGACTTGCAAAGAGATGCATCATTCCGAATCGGCGACATTTGTTCGGAGGCACCGAACGTTTGGTTGGGTCGCCGCCTCACATCATTGCTGTTTAACCTATTAGAACCTATTTTGATTTGCTTTCGTCACGAACCTGGGTGAGGTTGAAATCGAACCTGGGTTGGAAGTGGAGGCTGGGCTTCCGAGCCAACCATGCGACCCATTGCGACCCGCCTTTTGGAGCTTTTCGACTCGGTCGCTGCCGTCTCGCAGGCACTGGAGCCCACGGACGTTCTTAAAGAAGCCTGGATCGGATCCGGATGGACCTGGAACGGACCCGGGACGGGACGAGACGGGACCTCTTTCGGAGCGAGCGTCTGGCATCGTCTGGTGGACGAAAATGACACATTCGTCGGACTGAAAGGTCCCTACTCACAACTCAGAATACTCAATATGCTCAATAGCATACCTCAGCTGCATTTGTTTCCCTGGGTTGCCTTTCGTTACACATTTATTTTGCTTTTCTTCTGCCTTTGTCAACCCTTTTAGTCAATTCACTAAGGAACATGGTGTTCCAGAACGCGTCATGCTATCGTATTTGAAAGGGGAGATTGAAGGTGAAGCCGCGGTCAAGAACCTGCCAGCTGCTCTGCTGCATTTTGGGTGAACACGTGAACCTCCACCCACAACTCACTGCAGCTTTTTCTTTGAGTCAACTAGAAATAAAAACAAGCAAAGAACATCAAAAGGAACAAACATGAATAAACCAAAGGAACCAATTTTTCAACATCAAAAAGACACCAAACGCTGATTTCTCGGCCCGACGAAAGAGAAGGGCCAACACCATGTCGATCGACTCTGGTCAGAAAGCGCCAATCGCTCGCTCGCTTCGCCCAGGCCGCGATTCTGCTGATTGTTTGGTTCTTGCTGATGCGCCCCAGCGCAATTTCGGGTGATGTCTGCGCTGACGACGAAATTGGTGTTTTCGCACGATTCGCCGACCGAGACCTGAGGAACTTGTCTCATGAGCTTCCGGAGACGATTCAGAGCATCGAAAAGGCCATTGATTTTGATATCGCAGAGAAGCTGAAGTGGCAAGTGGCAACGAACATTTTAAGTCTTTTCCGATGAGCAGATCTACTACCGGCGTAGAAATCCACTCTTCAGATTGCTGCACTTATCATTCTCATGGTCTTTCATTATATCTTTTCTCCGAGGAATGCAAACTTCGCATTTTCTAGCCCGCTGTATATGGGGCACAAGAACTATGAAGATGTGAACACCTTCGCAGATTGGTACTCCTGGATGAGGGTAGGCTTTTCCGAGCCTTGAATAGCAGAAAATCGGCCTTTCAGCATTCCATGGAAAACGGCCGTCATAGTCTTTTGCATTTTTTTGTGTGGACCGGAATCTTTAGTCGCTGTTTCCAGTCGCTGGTGTTTGAGGCCATCTACTTTCCAATGGATGCGTCTGTTTCAGAGGGAGCCGAATACAGTCTTGGACAGCTCACTTTTGACGAAGCGAGTACGTTTCCTGCCCAAACGAAGCTGTGCCACGTGTGCACTCTTTCTGTTCACAGGAAAAGCATCAGTTCCGGAGGGCATCCGTCACACGGCCAGTGTGTCCACTTATCCTGCAGGTATTTGCAGCATAATCGGAAGATTGGCGACGTGATTCTGACGCAGCAGAGGTGATACTTTGATGACCAGAAGCTTTTGACATGTCTTTTCTGCATCGAACGATGCACAGCAGTTTGAATAAAAACCGTCAGGCTCTTCGACTCCGATTGCAGCAATCCTCTAGTGCCCAAGATTTGAGAAATTCAGTGCAACGTGTTTCAAACGAACCTCATAGTTCTCAGTTCTCGGTGTTTCTTGAGCCTTGATCAATCTGGATCATCCAATTCCATCCAATTCCACTGAATTCCATCATTCTTCATCTACTGCATTGCATCCGTACTAATGTATGGACGGATAGACAAGACATTGAAGCATGTAATCAGCCACGCCGTGGGATGAAATTCCTGACGCTGCTGCGAACCATTCGGCTCCGGACACTGGTGTCAGACTGCAGTCTCTGTGTTCCAAAATGATCCGGGTGCCTTTGCAGTGCCTGGAGTCCAGGTTAGCAATGCCTTGAGCTTGAACTGCCGAAGCTTCATCGGCTTGGACCTACGGCTGAAGCCCACCGAGTTGGACGTGAGCCAATCGGGCAAGGAGTTTGATGAGAATGCAGATCCCAGCAAGACAACGACCTTGAAGTATTTGATGGAATTTCCACAAGTGAATGTGACCTGATGGCAGAAGTCACCTCGAGACTCGTCGTTGATCGTCACTCGTTCCAGACACCGACCTTTTTGAAGGGGAAAAAGGATGGAACAGTTTCTGTTTCATCCTTTTCCACTTCAAAAAGGTCGGTGTCTGGAAGGTCTTTAAAAAACATAAACAATAAACATTATAAAGAATGCCTAGCCGCAGTCGTAGTAAAGCTGCGCCGGGCTTGAGCGACCTGTCCTAAAGTTGTGCTTCAACGAACGCGCAAGCTGCGAGACTCGACCAGGTGAGTCAGCAGCTCGAGCAGCTCGAACAGACGCGTTGGCTCGACAACAGCACCTACCGCGTGAAGGCGACTGGTGGAAGGGTGCGATGTTCGCTGGGTTTTGTTTCACACACAGCATTTACTGTTTTTTCTCCTTTTTTCAGGTGTTGTCCGAAACAGGGGCTGTTTCTTTCAGGGTGAGAGACAACTTTGACACAACTAATCTCTGACTTGAGAAGGTGGCGAGCTGCAAAACAGCCAGGTTGTTAGAACACATCTTGCTTGGCTTAAGGGAAAGGATTTGGCGAATAGACAACTTGGATCCCATGTCGTGCAACATTTGATGAATAGACACTGCCAAAGAAGGATATATATATATATACAATGATATAGGGAAGTTTATTGAGCTGTTTAGGTGTTAGGAGGTGTTAGGCGTTTACGAATGACCCATTTGCAAAACATGTCACAGCTCCCGCAGAGTAGTACACTTTATCATATAGCACAGATTTATTAGTGGTAGAGGAATTTGGATGAATTTGCCAAGTGCAAGTGCCTTTGCCAAACAGGTGTCGTTCATGACGTACAACCAGATCTATGCGACGTGACTGCAGATCCGTTAGTCACGACGTGACTGCCTCTGACTGCTTGAACCGTTAGGATGTTCTGACGACGACCCACATCCACTTCATGTTTGCGATTTCAGGCGCTGACGACGACGACGACCGGACCGCCGACTCGAGACTGGGACCGGACAGCCGGACCGGCCAGGGCACATTTTCAAACAGATTACTCACCGGCCCTGGAGCTCAGTGGTGTTGCGTGGACCGAACCCGGCCCCCCCCAACCGGGGGAAGAATCGAAGACGAAGACGCACCGAGGTCCATGAAATTGGCGGCTCATTCCAGTTGGGAGAGTTGGGTCTTCGAGGCCCGGTGCTTCCACTGTGGTGGTTCCCATGTGTTTTTCCGTGCTTCCGCGTTCCCGATGTTCGGGGGCGGAGCCGGTGTCGGAGCGGTTTTTCGGGGTTCCGTGTTGGTTCCGTGCTTCGTGCTGTTTTTCGTCCTCGCAACGCATTCTCGGAATGCCTGAGGTCCTCTTCTTTGGACACATCACGGTCCTCTTCGTGTGCGAAGGCAGGAGTCCAGAATGAGCACTCAAGTGGAGTAAAGGGGGGTTCCAGAGGTGACACATGACTCTGATGCGAACGCAAGAAAAAGACTACGTATGAATTCTGCTGATGCCACGGAAGACTTCAAAGCACTTTACACCCAAGTGGGTCTTGAAGCCAGCCGATTCCTTGCCAGCCTTTGAAGCAATTTGCACCTTGCGAGAACATCGTTACAATGTTCTTCGCGCATGGCATCCCGGCCGAACACGGAGCTCGTCACCCGAACGGGTCGTGGGTTCGGCCTCACGACCTCACGAACCGGCCCGTGTTTCGTTTCTTTTTTTTTCTTTCTTTTTTTCCACGACCTCGTGTTGATGCGACGTCTTTTTTGGGGTGAGGAAAGAGTATTGGAATTTCTGGAATGTGGTGGATTGGGTCTCCATTTGCTTGGCCTATGCGATTTTGATCACCTGGATCATCCAGTGCGTGGAGCAGGCCGGAGAACGGATCCCCTGAGTGTTTGGTCCGACCGGTCCCTTGGTCGGACGCTTCGTGCTTCGACTCGTTCGGACGGTTCGACGGTGGACTCGGTCGACTCTAGACCTATAGATCGACCTATATAGACAGACACTATTCTTTCTTTTTTTTTTTTTCCGACATGATGCTGAGAACGTCACACAGCGAAACCGGATGGTGGGATTTCCGAGTTACAGCAGGATGCCATCTCGGCGAAGCTGGAGGTTTGGGAGCCGAGCGCTCGCGCTGCGAGGGATTTTTGCGAAGAACTTGGAGCCCAGAGAGGCTGTGAGGGAGTTTCTCCCAAACACTTGGAGTGGTGCACGCTAATGGCCACTAATAATATGAGATGTGGGTGTGCACCAGTGGGGGGACTTTGCCAGGATAGTTTCAATCACTCAGTTGGCTGGTCTTGCCACAGTACATGTTGCAAGGATTACTTGGGTCTTCATTCTCTCTGCCGAAGCTCAGCTGGCTATGGCAGCACTGCATGCAGCGCGGCGGAACAAACGGAGCTTGTGTCGGTGGAACGAAGGGAGCAAAACAATTGCCAGCCAGGACTGGTTTTCCAGGCCACGTGACATGTCAGGTGATCAAGCCCAAAGCTATGATATTGCGCTCTTCACGCAAGTGGAAGAACTTGGATATCAGATCAGGAGCCTTTTCGGTATTCGCCGCTTCAAACCAACAGCGCCCGCGCCGTTCCGCAACAAAGCACTCGTTCCGTGGAGCATCTCCGAATGAGTTCCGATGAGTTGGCGGACGGAAACGCTCCGGGTCTCACGCGAACGAGGAGCAATCGATGGATCTCGGGATTCTATCCCGTTTGCATCATGATGCGACTGCCACTTGGATCCGCGGTGGCGTGTTTCACTAGCCTAGGACCTAGGAACACAACAAGCTCTACATCAAGGATCCCCCACTTTTGCATATTGAATGGCAGAACTGCCATAAGGATCATCAATGTACCAACTCATGTATTTTATGGATCCCCCCCCCCCGGCCGTTTCATTTAGGCCACCCATGTATACATGGTCGGGTGTCTATATGGTGTGCGCCATTCAGGTTCAAAGCCTTTGCTGCACAACCGCGCTTGGCCATCGTGACCAAGACCTTAGCCTTGGCGGCGAACGACTTGACGCACTTTGGGATTGTGACTCAATTGGAACTATTTGAATGTGCGAATCCACAAATGATGTGTTTTGGAGTTGAAGAACATGGTGGCTTAAACGTTCAAAACCATATCTGTGAGAAGACAGCAGCTGTTTCTGCTTGTGATGCAGGTGTTCTTGTCCATTTTCTTCACTTATGTTGCCATGGGAATGGCCTTCTTTGGAAGAGAAGTGGAGTCTTTTGCATCCTTCGACCGTGCCTGCCTCGCACTTCTGGAAGCTTTGCCTCTCGTTTGCACGTGGCCGATATATGGTGAGATCGCTTCTCGCCGGCGCCCGCCGTGTGGGCCAAACGAAAAACGAGGATGTGTGATGTAAACGTGCTTTGAGGATGGGTGAGTTTAGCGTGGAAGAAATGGAGCTGAGCGGTCGCCCAGTTCCTTGGCTCGTCGGCCGAGATGGGTCCGGACCGAACGGCACGACCGGTCGAATTCGACCGGTCGAAGAAATGAAGCCTTCGATGGCAGGCACTCTCTATCTTCGCATACTGTTCGCATACTGTTCGCATACTGTTCGCATAGCATTCCTTTCTTGTGTGATCGAGCGACTGACAAAAGAGTGAGCCATCATGATCCATCTGACATGTCTTGACCCTTCAGGTTGCCTTCTTCTTTTTTGGTACCTACATGATGGCAGCAGTCCTTCTCTTGCTCAACATGCTCATTGCCATCCTCATGGACGTCTATGGGCAGGTGCAACGACTGCTCCGAGATATCTTGTTTCTGTCCAGGACTGCTTTGATACGCAGATCAAGACCTGCGTTGAATAGCAAGGCTCAAACACATGAGAAGAACCAGGTCATCCCCCCCCCCCCACAGCAGCCCACGAGCGATGCTCGGGCCATGCTCCGCTGCACCCTGTGCCATGTTGAACAATTCACCCGTGGTCGCAGGTTGCAGCAGGGTCTCGGACGAGCGAGTCGCTGTGGCATGAATGCTGGGATTCTGGGCGAAATTGGTGCCCGAACATCCATGCTCTGCTAGATCTGATGCTTTCGATCGATTTGAGAAATGCACATTTTTGGGAGATTGAGATGTTGGATGTTGGTAAGAGGTGTTTGCGAAAAGGAGACCTCTCGTTCATACAGGGTCCCAGGGGGCGCCATTCGCCGGTTTTTGACACTGCCCCTTGTTTGCGCTCGTCGTCTTCGCTCTTCGAATGGACTTGTTCGTTTCGTGGCCCTTCAGGATATCATGCGGCGTGGCGCACGCAAGTGGACCGGAGAGCACACTCCACTCTCCCAGGTGGTCTCTTCGGTGGTCCAAGCCGGTCAGTGGTCGGTGGTTCACACATCGGCAGTGCACCAGCAGTGCTTGGAACATGTGTCAGGTGGTGAAGAAGTATATGGAAATTCACGGCAAGGAGTGCCTGGAAAGTGATAAAGTGCTCCAGCTGCCTTTATAGTAGATCATACCACAAAGAGCGAGTCGAAGGAGACGCTGCCGCCATGAAACAAGTGGTTTTTGAGTCATGGCACAGGGTACAATGATGGAAGTGGAAAATAGAAGTGGAAAAGTAGGTCCCTGGAAGGCCATTATTCTCTGCAAACACACTTCCATGTTATGGCTCGGAGAATAGATCAATGATCCAGATGGTCTCAGGTGATTTACGTCGATGACGTCATGGCCGCTGTACCAGGCAGATGTGAAGATTTGGTCTTCTCTGTCACCTTGTGTCAGCTTGTTCTTCTTGTGAGGAACCTACTAGGGCTTTGCATCATGGATACTCTGAGTAGGGAATATGGTACGAAAGAGTAGGATGCACCGTGCGCACCACTGTTCAAATCCTGCCCAATGCAACCGCGAATGCCAAAACTACTTCGCAAAGACACACCACAAACCAACAATTGTTTTAGGGAGAGATTGCCGCTCAGCTCGTGCTCTCTTCTTTTGGTTTCGATTTTCGTTGGTTTTCAATAGCTCAATCTCGTCTGCTTTGGCTGAAGGTATCTTGGCCTGGCCCTAGTTCTAAGTGATCACCAGTTTACTTGCGGCTTTGCCTTCTTCAACCAAGTTGTCGTTCTAGATCCGTACTACCTTGCTCTTTTCGTTTATGTCTACGACAGCAATGGTGTTGTGGAACTCTCCAGGTGGATCAAAGAGCAGTTTGTATTTTAATAGTGAGACCACCCACCAATGGGTAGACGGGTCTATGTTATTTCTTCCTTGGGTTCTTTTTTGGGCGTCTCCATATTTCAACACACACACACACAAATAGTAGTCTTCCTATTTCAGAAGCTTTCGTGCGCAGCTTGACGCCACTTCTCCACAAAATGGCTTCATGGCGAGCGAACGAAAGCACGTTGCACTGAGAGCCGTGCTCATGATCGGCTCGTTCTGTTCGATCTGCCTGACGTCCCACGTCCCATCTCTTGGGAGGTCTGAACCGAAAGCAAGCAGAAGAGGAAATGACCTCGGCCCTCGAAGAGTATGCCCTGGAGCCGAGCGCTTTTGGAGCGTTTTTGGGTCGTTTTTAGGAACCGTTTGGCCACATACTGGCTCCTCACCTCTGCGACCTGGACCGTTTGACGTGTGCCAGGAGAACTCTCCGGACATTCAAATTTCCGAGGCTCATCTTTCAGTTCCCAGTGCGATGTCGGGTTTTTTCGACCTGGTTCGCCGAACGCAGCCGAATCGACCGTCAGGTGATTTCTACCATGGGCAAGTACTTCGTTGGGACCCAATGGATGTGAGAAATCACGATGACTTGCACACAAACTGAAGGTATTCGTTGTATCTGGTTGTTTCTTGAGGGCGGTCAAGTTGCTCCAGCAGTTTCACCAGAGGAGCTTGAGGACATTTCAAGGCCGGGACAGAGGCTTATTATGTCAAAGCACGAAACAAATGCATGAACAGAGTTCACTCATTTCCATCATCTCCTGGTTTCGTAGTCGTAGTGTTTTGGCTGTTTGAAAACAGCTGTTTTTTCTCAGTATAGATGCCAGACACCTGCCCTATAGTGCCTGCCCCATTTGTGTGGCGGAAGCCACTTATGACCCCCGTCACGGACGGCAGGCAAATGGCCGGCTGTCCGCCTACCCGCGGCGCTCTGGCCAGCTCTGATGTCTCTGACAACTCGGTACAACAAGCAGCCGAGGGGCTGGTCGGGGCAGGCCGGGACGAGCCATCGACACACGCAAGATCCCCACGGAGTTTCATTTAGATGCAAGATCTGGCGCAGGGATTTCTGTGGAAGTCCTTCTGAAAGCTGCTGGGATCATTCTTGAGCCTTGCCACGAAGTCATGCTGTGTGGTATGACTTGATAATATCCCGTTTCTATTCTGACACAAGTCCTTTTGCTTCGTGGATTGAGGACAGACACGAGCCAGAATGGAGTGAGACCAGTGCCTGATCCGGACATTAGTTGCAACATAAGACGTGTCCTTTTGGCAGTTAAAAACCCTTGAAACCATGGGTTCTTGATGGGTTTCCTGATCAGAGCCACGAGGTCGAGCACAAGTCACGGCTTTGCGGCACGTGATCTCCTCTGCCGAATTACTGTGCCGCGAAGACAAGACGATCATGATGTTCAGCGCCCAGTGGATGTCATGAAGACAGGCTGCTTTTGTTTGAACTCTTTTTGCCTTGGTCGGAATGACTTTGTCACAATTTTCAGCCCCTGCGGGAATGACTCATGTAAAGGGATCGGATCTGTGACCCCATTTCCTCTACAAAATGCTGGGATGACTCGTGGGAGATCGCGTCGGTTTTTTCAACAAGGCAACCCGTGAACTCGGCGGTTTTTTCGCTTCGTGGTTTTGATTTTGATCACATTGGGGAACCTCTTCGCTGGTTCTCCACGCGACACAGTTCGGCGGCTTTCGCGTGCGGTTTTCGCCTAGGACCTAGGAGTCTAGAAGGTGTTTTCTTCCGGGAGTCAGTTGCAAAAAGAAAGATCTACTGATTGAACATTTCAAGAAGTATGCTGGCTTTGCCAAATCAACTATACCTCAATTTGAAATGGTTGATTTGGCTCACGCGAAGGTGTCAGGCAATAAGTGTTGCTTACGTACGATCCCAAGACATGTCCGTGTCTGGCTGTGCTGGTGACACCACGAAGAAGAACCAGGGAAAGAAATCAAAATGGTTCGTGACTGTGACCATCACCTGGCTTGGCTAGTGGAGGATTGACTCAGTCAGTCCTGGAATTTTCGGTCGAGTCTGGAAGCCGCGAGTCTTGAAACGTGTTCGCTCAGTCGCCAGCGATCCGGAACCGCGAGCGATCAGAGTCACGTGTTCGGGTGAGACGGTTCCGGCACGTCTATTGGCCGCCCCGTGTCCAGAGTCAACTGAAGCTAGCCATCCGTGTCCGATTTGGCACACGCCGCTTTTCACCGGTGACCTTGCTGCGGCTCCCGCGTCAGTCGAGACACTGCACCCAGGTTCAGGAACTGACGGCTCCGAGGTTTCTGATGCGAAGTTGACCGATACTGTACGCCTCCGCTCAACTTGTGGAAGACTGATCACCGACGCCACTGAATCACTGAATCACACCTGCAGCCTGACACAAAGTTGAACGCAATGACCACATGGAACACATTGTGAGCAGGTCACTGACCATAGCGATGATTCCCCAGCGACTTGAAAAACCACAGCACCACGTCTCTTTGTCACACAAGGGCCAGAACAAGCAGAGTGGGAACGCCAGTTAGACCCCGATGTTTTTCTTTTTTTTTACACCAAGAACATACCAAGAACATATAGCCTGATTATTGATCAACGATGCTCACATTCTTTTTGCAACTCTTGTACCCAGGTAACGAGGTGGGAGGTAGCCACTGCTGGTGCACACACACAGACATACATGCTGTTTGGTGCGACATGCCGAGAATATTGCTTCGTCAGAGGTGCACCTTCCAGGTCACATAAAAAAGCACTGCAGGCACAAGCACACATCAGCCAGTTCCTATCACATAATTACATACACTCATGTCATGCTCATGCCACATACACTACTAGTAGATCTCTCCTCTTGGAAACACTTCATTCATCTCATTCTTTCGCCACACTTTTGAATCACTTGTTTATTGCTTTTCTTGGCTGAATAATCTTCTAGGCAAAATCTATTGTGAGATGTTAAAGATAACCTTCATTTCAGCGAATCGTTTGATCCGCGCATCGAGGTGTCAACTTTGATCGCGGCGAGACGCGATCGTTTGCTGAGCCTTTTTTTCTCCAACAGCCACAAGGTTTTGCGCGTCGAGAAACTGCTGTCATCTGTGATGTCCAGCACTCTCTCTCTCTAGTTGTCTGACCCGAAGGGTAACGGACCAATAGTGAGGAGCACAATTGTGCAGCACCACGCTTTTTGCGGCAGTGGAATTTCCGGGCTTTGCAACTTGATTCAATGATTTTCCGTTGGAAAACATGCAACGATGCTTGGTTTCTAGCGATTTTTAGCGTACAGCTTTCTCCTTGTGGCGCCTTTGGATTTCGCTCATGCTAGCAGTTGCAAAGCGCCCGAGGGCTCCTGTTTTACCCGCTCCAAACACTGGTTGCGGTCCTGCAAGTAGATACCATTGGAGTGATAATTTTGCAAGCAGAAAGACAGATGCATCATTCTCCAGTTTGGATGGGCCTTCTTGCTTCACCACAGCTAGTGGATTGGTGCTGTGTAAGTGAACATTTGCCTTGCGACGGTATCTTGCGGTGAGCGAGGCTGAAGCATTCGAGCGCTGGGTAGACATCCGTTTCGCCGCGCAAGGCCGGTTTTCATGTCTTACACGGTTTTGCTGCAGAAAAGAAGATACAGCGTGTTATTTTCGTGCATTATTTTTTCGTAGTCGCAGGTCAAGCTTGGGTCCGAAAGTTTGAGAATTTGTGGAGCAATCCTCTCCTCGTTTTAACTCGTTTTGATCTGTTTTGACGATGCTTTTTCCTCGTGGGCCCGGATCCAAGAGGCCTTGCTGACACGACTCCAGGCCAGCAGGCCGTTGTTGGTGAAATGGTGTGAAATGGCCTTTGCTCCCTGTATATCTACTACATTTGATGCAGATTGTTTTACTATGTTTCACTTGCTTTTCTATCCACTTCACCGGATTTGTTTGATCAGTGGGCTTGGAAGCTGCAGGAGATCAAGCAGGATCAGACGGTTTCGCTTTCTCCAACCCCACGGTGAGAGGTGCAAGATGGATTCCATTTTCAGTGCAATTTTCGTTTCAAACGAGAAGATGCAGTTCACCTACTACGAACGTGAAACGCCCTGGATGCTGCTGGACAGGCCTTCCTGCATCCTGGGATGTTTGCTTCCCAGAAAGGACCATGCTCTTCAGCAATGGCGCTCTATCGGTAGGAGATTTACTCGGATCTAGATAGAAATTTGAAGATGTTCAAGCATATCTTTGTCCAGACCCGGCCTGGTCCTCTTTTTCCCGAATGCGTAGCGAAGGGTTCTCGTTTAACTCTTGGGGGTCTGGGGGTAGAGCCTTGTTCGCGATCCGTGGTTTCTACGTCCGCAACCGTCCGCAACCGTTCGCAACCGTCCGCAACCGTCCGCAACCGTCCGCAACCGTTCGCAGTAGAGCGCTAAGGCGCGCAAGAAGCGTGATGCATTTCGCTGCACAGGCGCAGCGTTTCGTGAGATCCGCAGTTTGCGTCGCAGTTCCTTTGGGATTGGCGTTTGGAGAGTCGTGTGTTTGGGGTGTTGGATGTGGCCGTGCCATTGGGATTTGCGTTTCAGGGTGTGGCACCGAAGCTCTGTTTTCGTGACAAGTCTCAGCTGAAATGCCGACTTTGGTGGATGGGAGTATGCTCAGAACGGGTCGAAATCATTCCAAACGTGTGGTGTGGTGCAAAATTTGTTGAAGCTCACATGAGATGATATGGTCACTTTTCGTGGCAGGCGCAGTACTTTGTGTGGCTTTTGAGGTGTGGAAGTGCGAGTCTCGTGGCAGGCGCAGGGAATCGTGAGGTTGCGAGGTGTGACGGAGGCGACATTTCGTGACAGGCGCAGTACTTTGTGCGCGTTAGACATGTGGATGCGGAAAGATTCGTGGCAGGCGCAGGGAATTGTGAGGTCGTGAGTTGTGGTAGAAGTGAATGTCGCTGTGACAGTGGGATTGGCGTGTGAACGGGTGTTGTTTGGAGGGGCTGGACTCGCGAAACTGCTTGGCAGGGCTGCGTGATGTGTGTGCTCCGATGGGTGTTTCTGCTTGACTTTTGGAGGAAGTCTCGTACGAAATGCTCGTTTTGCAGACTTTGACATGTGACTTTTGGAGGACGTCTCGTACGAAACGCTCGTTTTGGAGACTTGACACGTGACTTTTGGAGGAAGTCTCGTACGAAACGCTCGTTTGGGAGCGTCCTACAAGAGTGTCCCACAAGACGACAAGAGTGTCCCATAAGAGTGACCCACAAGAGTGTCCTACAAGAGTGTCCCGTAAGAGTGTCCCACAAGAGTGTCCTACAAGAGTGTCCCACAAGAGTGTCCTACAAGAGTGTCCCCCAAGAGTGTCCTATAAGACTATAAGAGTGTCCCACAAGAGTGTCCTACAAGAGTGTCCCACAAGAGTTTCCTACAAGAGTGTCCCACAAGAGTGTCCCACAAGAGTTTCCTACAAGAGTGTCCCACAAGAGTGTCCCACAAGAGTTTCCCACAAGAGTGTCCCACAAGAGTGTCCCACAAGAGTGTCCCACAAGAGTGTCCCACAAGAGTGTCTCACAAGAGTGTCCCTCAAGAGTATCCCACAAGAGTGTCCCACAATAGTGTCCCACAGAGTGTCCTACAAGAGTGTAACACAAGAGTTTCCTACAAGAGTGTCCCACAAGAGTGTCCTACAAGAGTGTCCCACAAGAGTTTCCTACAAGAGTGTCCCGCAAGAGTGTCCCACAAGAGTTCCCTACAAGAGCGTCCCACAAGAGTGTCCTACAAGAGTGTCCCACAAGAGTGTCCTACAACGTTATCCCACAAGAGTTTTCTACAAGAGTGTCCCACAAGAGTTTCCTACAAGAGTGTCCCACAAGAGTGTCCCACAAGAGTGTCTCACAAGAGTGTCCCACAAGAGTGTCCCACAAGAGTGTCCCGCAACAGTGTCCCACAAGAGTGTCTCACAAGAGTGTCCCTTAAGAGTGTCCCACAAGAGTTTCCTACAAGAGTGTCCCACAGTTTCCTACAAGGGTGTCCCACAAGAGTTTCCTACAAGAGTGTCCCACAAGAGTGTCCCACAAGAGTTCCCTACAAGAGTGTCCCTTAAGAGTGTCCCACAAGAGTGTCTCACAATTGTGTCCCACAAGAGTGTCCTACAAGAGTGTGCTACAAGAGTGTCCCGTAAGAGTGTCCCACAAGAGTGTCCTACAAGAGTGTCCCACAAGAGTGTCCCGCAACAGTGTCCCACAAGAGTGCGCTACAAGAGTGTCCCTTAAGAGTGTCCCACAAGAGTGTCCTACCAGAGTGTCCCACAAGAGTGTCCTACAAGAGTGTCACGTAAGAGTGTCCCACAAGAGTGTCCCGCAACAGTGTCCCACAAGAGTGTCTCACAAGAGTGTCCCTTAAGAGTGTCCCACAGCCGCTGTTGTGGATTTCTCTGTATTATGTGGACGGTTATCATTTACAAGTGCTTATTTTCGAGATTTTGGGACAATGCCATTGTTCCCCAGATAGCGAAGCTATGGGGTTCTTACTTCAAATAATAGTGAGTTGCCCGTGCGCGCTTTCGAGACAGGTTGCTGGTGCTGGGTGCCGGTGCTGGTGCTGGAGCTGTGAGCTGGCTGTGCACGTGGTGGAGACAGGTTGCTGGTGGTGGTGCCGGGTGCCGGTGCTGGTGCTGGTGCTGTGAGTTGGCTGTGCACGTGGTGGAGACAGGTTGCTGGTGCTGGTGGCGGTGCTGGGTGCCGGTGCTGGTGCTGGATGCCGGTGCCGGTGCTGGTGGTGTAGCTTGCATAAATGTGGCGATCTTTTTGGCCCAGATAGCGAAGCTGCCTGCGCGCGCTTTCGAGACAGGTTGCCGGTGCTGGTGGGCGGTGGAAACAGGGTGCCGGTGCTGGGTGCCGGTGCCGGGTGCTGGTGCGGGCTGTGGTGCTGGTGCTGGGTGCTGTGAGCTGGCTGCGCGCGTGGTGGAGACACGGTGCCGGTGCTGGGCGCTGGCAGTGCGCATGGTAGAGACAGCGGGCGCCGGTGCCGGTGCTGTGAGCTGGCAGTGTGTGTGGTGGTGACTGGGCGCCGGTGCTGTGCTTGGTGCTATACCGGTGCTGGGTGCTGGTGCTGGGCGCCGTAAGCTGGCGCGCCGGTGCTCGGTGCTGGTGCCCGCTTCTGACAGTGAAGTGATAACAACCGCCGCTTCTGACAGTGAAGGGTAACAAACCGCCGCTTGCAGCAGTGAAGGGCGACCAAGCGCCGCTTCTGACAATGAAGTGCAAGCAGTCATGGGCCGCATGAACTTATGCACGAAACATCATACGGTGTTGTCGCTTGAGCGTTCTTTGTTTATTAGCGCTGTGGGGTATTTACACCCTTCAGGTTCTGTTTTGGCCGACAGCTGTGTCAAGGGCTGTACTGTTTGCGCGCATACCGTATAATGTTCTGTGCGTCAGGCTCTCAACCGACCATTGTACCAGCATGTTTCATCATGCTACACACACACAATAGTCGTGCTGGATACTGCTTGGCCTTGGGCGAGTGAAGCCTACGGGCTTTGCCGATTGTGCGCATACTTTTGCAAGATCATACGGCCTTATCGTTCTGCAGGTCGTTGCTTCAAGCATGCTACAAAGTCAATCGTGGCGCTGGATACTGCCTGACCTTGGGCCAATGACACTTACGGGCTTTGCTGTTTGCGCGCGTACTTTTGTGCGCACAGACTTTTACGCGCAAGATCATACGTTGTTATTCCCCAAGTAGGGATAGCTATGGGGTTCTTGCTGCAAATGAGAATGAGCTGGCTGCGCGCGGTTTCAAAAGGGTGTCGGTGCTGGTGCTGGTGTTGTGGTCCTGGGTGCTGGTGCTGTGAGCTGGCTGAGCGCGCGTTTAAGACGGGCGGCGGCGCTGGTCGGGCGCTGGTGTCAGCTGATTGTGCGAGGTGTCGTAAGCTGGCTGCGCAGGCTGCGTACATTCTTGTTCCAGCCAGTCGCGTGTCAACAGGTCGTGGGATTCTGCCGGGCCTAGCTATCTGGGTCTATGCTGGTGTAGTTTCTTTCGTGATGTGGATCTGCCAGAACCTTTACGCCAGTGCTTGATTTGAATGCAAAACGAAGACCCTTCATGACGAAGACGGAGCTTGGTGGTGAAGTCCCCAGCACAGGCTGCCTTGGTAGTGGAGTCCCCAGCGCATGATGTCCAACAGCGTACCGGAGTGTGAAAAAGATAATCTAACCGGCTGTGTCTCTTTCTATACACAGTGGATTGACATATGTGTTTGCATTCGGGTT